AAACTTTCTAGGAGGGGGACATTCCAGTCCCCATTCAAGATAAACTCAGCTATTGGCTTAGATTTAGGGCTCCACTAATCGGTCTGGTAATTAGAGAAAAGCCACTATTTTAGGGTTCCACTGATCGGCCTAGTATTTAGAGAAAAGCCATTATTTTCTTGGATATAGGGTACTTGGTCAACTTTAGTTTTAGAATCCGGGTTGACTAGAAAACCCACTTATTGCAGAAGTTCCTGAAGGATGGGAACCATGGCTCTCCAGATTGGGGAGTTGGATTTCTTTGCTGCATAGGGGAAGAAGTCCTCATTCCTCAAATATTTAGACTTCCAAATTTGGGTCCAGAGCTTATGTTGCTCATTTAAGAATGTCCAACGTAATTTTTTGAGAAGGACCAAGTTGACCCTCTTTAGTCTCTTGCAGTTGAGACCTCCACTACTCTTGGGTTGGGCTAGCTTGTTATAGGCACACCATCCGTGTGGGTTGGGTTTCACTTCAGTTTTAGCTCACCAGAAGTTCCTTATTTTCTTATCCATTTATTTAGCATGTTTTGAGGAAGCTTGATGACATTCATTACATGAATGGGAAGGGACTGTAGGATAGCATTGATAAGAGTTTGTTTGCTTGTTTGGCTTAGAGCTGTAGCCTTCCAGCTATTCAACTTGGCATTTATGCTTTCTAGGAGAAATCCTAGATCTTGTTGTTTCTTTCTGGACTAGAATGAAGGAACTCCAAAGTATTACATTCGAGTGTCTAAAGTTTTCATGTGGAGTTGTCTTTTTATCATTCTTCGATGCCTATGGTTTATATTCCTATTGAAGATTACTCTCGATTTCTCAAAATTGATGCATTAATCCGATAGAGACTGAAACTGGTCTAGAATTTCTTTTAGGTTTTTAATTTCATCCCTGGGCTCTTAGAAAAAGCATTATGTCATTAGCAAAAAACAAGTGGGAGATACTCAAGGATCTCTTTGACATTTGGATCCCCTGAAATTTGTTTTTAGTCCCAGCTTTTAACAAAATTCTAGACAAGCCCTCCATGGCTATTATGAACAAATAAGGGGAATTGTCTTAGACCTCTTGAGGTATTAAAATGACCTTCAGCTGACCCATTTATGAGGATTGAGAAAGACACAATAGAAAAGCATTCTTTAATAATTTGACAAAACTCCGGAGAAAATCCTAAACCCTGTACGACTTTGATGAGGTAATCTCATTCCAATCTGTTATAGGCTTTTGATTAGGGCTAGAAAGCCATGCCCCCTTCTGTGAGATTTGAGAAAATGGAAAGTTCCTTAGTTATGACTAGATTGTATACCATTTGACGACTAGGTATAAAGGCAGCCTAAGTTGGAGCTATACATTTGCCCAACAAGGTATGGAGGCAGTTGGCTATGACCTTAGCCAAAATTTTGTACAAGATGTTGCATAGGCTAAAAGGACTGTAGCCCTG